CTATATATATATATTTTTTTTTTGCTGTTTTAGAATTACAAGTACCCAAAAGTTAAACTATTTCCAGCACCCCTAAGAAAGATGGTCAGCCTCAATCTGCCTGCGGCACTTTTCCCGTCCGCGCTCCTGCGAGGTGATCAATTTTCAAGGCAAGGAGGTGGTCGGGGAGGCAGTCTGGATGAGGATAGTTGCCCCTCCGTCTTGGTATCAGAGGCCCATTCCCCCCTGAAAGGTGAATCCACGTGGCATCGGGGCAAAACGGATCTCGCTGCAGATGTGGAGAACAAAGGTTAGTTTGGTGGAAAAAAATAAATTGCTTGCCATACCTTTTTGTCCAAACGCTCCCGAGTTTCGCAGGATAGCACTTGGCAAGCCCCCGCATGCCAAAAAGGAGTCGCCACCCATCGCGAAGGTGTGGTCCTATGCACTCTTCCTGGCTTCGATTTTCCGAAGGCGAGCCAGCAAACTTGCACTGGGCTACGACCTCATCCTTGCAGCTCTCTTGCTCGGACATAGCTCCCATCGTCCAACCCTCCTCAAGACCATTGGCGATGAAAAGCCAGTCAATCGCACCGGAGGAACTCGTGTTGTAGTTTGAGAGCTGCTTCACGTCTGAATCGGCGCCAGTGGGTTTTATGGGGCCAAGCACGGCTTCCAGCGCCGCGCTCTGGTTGGAGCTGCCTAGCCCGTTAGTCTCCGACACCAATGGCTCCCAAGCAAACCCTTGCTGCACCATGGGCTTCCAAAGCTCATCCACAACTTCGGTTCCCATGCGCAGCCGCAAGTTCCGCGCCCTTGCCGCACCTGAACCCGTGTGCCAAGAGAGCTCCATCCCATACCCTGGCGCATCAGCAAGACGAACTGTGGCGTCCTCGTCCCAGTCAGAATTCGCCAGCAGGCCCGCTTGTCCCCTGCAGCTTTAATTTGCAAGCGTATGACACCAAGTCCTCCCATGTCCAGTCGTCGAGTTCGAATGGAGGTGGCAGTTTGAGTCCTAGCACGCTTCAGATCGTTTGACATTGAGCCAAGCAGGGGGCGCGTGTCATCGGCAAACGGATGCCCATCCACTTTGGAATCAAAGTTGTTACTTTAGTTTGCCACTCAGCGCAGTAAGTCGTCTTGATAACGCTCAGCTTGTGCTTTCAATCGAACTCTAGGACTGGTGAGGGGTAACGCCCGATCTTCGGCAATGCGTCGCGGGAATGGGTTGTCGCCATTGAGACTCACTTTTTAGGAAACAGGTTCTCCCTCTTCTCGCAGATTCTTTGGCCGAGCCACATCCGTCCCAGCCTTTGGTTCGAAACCTTTACGCACACTGAAGTCGGTGGTCCACTGAATAGCGTGTAGAGCGCGCCCACGGATGTTGGCCGCCCACAAGCCGCGTACAGCCGTTTTTCAGAAACGGGCGCCACAGGTCGACCCACATCTTTCGGCCACAGCCTCCCAGCGTGTACTCGTTTGCATGCGGGTACGGAAGTAAGCGGTAGCCATGTCTGTTTTCCCTGGCTCCTCCCAGGGCAACGCCTTGAAGCTGTCTGCGAGGATCCCAGTTTCTTCTTCTGCCATCACGGGATCCCCCTGCAATGCCCAACGACGGTCCCGATCCCGCGAGCCAATACACCCCTCCGCAAGAAGAATAGAGGACACCACTAACCAAAGCTGACCATGCTGCACCTTGAGCGCTTTATGAGCGCTGCAACCGAAATAACACAAGGACACGTTGGCCGCGAACTTCCCCCAAAATTCAGAGCAATCGACAGGACCCCATGGGTCCTAAACGCAACCCTGTCGGCCTGCAGGTGGGCGCAAGCAGCCCGAGCGCCCAAAGCCTGCATAACACTTGGCCCAGGCAGCAGAGAAGGCAATAAGAGTTACGCAATAGGGGAAACACACAATTTAGACCCCCAAAATAGTAGGGTTCCCATAATAAAACAGAAGGTACCCCCCTAAGTTTAGGAACCCAGGTTGGGCTATTCTTATTACACTCAACTTTTAACTCTACTAGGGTCAAACCGTGCCCCAGTATGGAGGGAACTGTGGTTGGCGTGGGTTGGTGGGGGGGGGGGGGGGGAAGAGGGGGGAGGGGGGAGGGGGGAGGGGGGAGGGGGAAGGGGGGAGGGGCGGGATTATAGGGGTGGGGGGGGGGAGTGATAGTGGTGGGGGGGGGGGGGTTTGGTGGGAAACATAGTAGAAAGACTGGATATGCAAAAACCTGGCTTAAATAAAACGACGCGTGTTGGCAAAGGGCAAAGGCATCAGGTTGCCTCGCAACAAATGCCAGCTGTGGGGTTTGAGCCCACGCCCTTGCAGACTGGTGCCTGACGCCAGCGTTTTAGACCACTCGGCCAAACTGTCCGTGGCAAGCAAACAAACAACTCTCCGCGGCAGCTGCAGCTCAAAAGAAAAGTCAGGGTGCACTTTGGTGTCTCAGCTTTCTTCTCTGGAAGAAGTGGAGTTGTTTTTGCCAAAGGTACCAAGTGCTTCCACAGCTCAGTTGGTTTCGTGGGGCTGCTAACCTGAGAAAGGTCGGGAAATCGAGCCTCTCTGGGGGCGATGTGAAAGAAAAAGAGGAAAAGGAGTAAGAAAAATAAATCAAAAAGGAAAAACAAAAACAAGATTTCGAAAAATGATACAAAAAAAAGAGGATGAAAAGAAAAAGGAGAAAAACAAACAGGAAAATAAGAAAAAAAGAAACAATAAAGAATGAAAAAGAGGAAAAAGAGGTTGAAAAAAACAAAAGAAAAATGACAAGATAAAAATAGAAAAGGAGAAAAAATATATGAAGAAAAAAGAGGAAAAGAAAAAAGACACAAAGAGAAAAAGAGAAAACGAGAACAAGAGAAAAAGAGAAAAAGAGAAAACGAGAACAAGAGAAAAAGATAAAACGAGAAAACGAGAACAAGAGAAAAAGATAAAACGAGAAAAAGAGTGAAAAATAAAAGAAAACAAGAAAAGAAAAAGAAAGAGAGAGACAGAGAGAGAAAGAGAGGAAGAGAGGGAGGAAGAGAAAGAGAAAGAGACAGAGACAGAGACAGAGAAAGAGAAAGAGAAAGAGAAAGCGAAAGCGAAAGAGAAAGAGAAAGAGAAAGAGAGAGGGAGAGGGGAGCTTGGCCAAACTGTGCATGGCCAAGCAAGCAGGCAGTCCGGCTGCTCAACTGTTGGCTTTGACAAAAGTCAACTTGTGTTTGCATGAGATATTATGAAGTGCTTCCATAGCTCAGTTGGTTAGAGCGTGAGGCTGTTAACCTCAAGGTCGGGAGTTCGAGCCTCCCTGGGAGCGATGTTTCCACTGCATAATATCCAGTCAAAAAGCAGAAAGGTGAGAGAGAGAACAGAAAGAGAGAAACAATGAAAATGATAGAAACAGAAGAAAAAGATAGAAACAAAGAAGAAGATAGAAACAAGGAGAAAGAGAGCAAAGGAAGAAGAGAGAGTGGGCCGAGCATCCAAAACTTTTCTTTCGGCTCGGAAAAAGACTTGCTGCTAACTACTGCTACTAAGTGAACACCTCCAGGCAGAATAGAGCCGGAGGGTCCTTTCCTTTTACTAGTGTGGCCCCCGACAGTTGGGGCATCCTCTGTGGCAGCCCATGGACCTCCATTAGACCTTACAGGACCCTATAAGACTCTTGCATGACTTGCAGCCGTCCGGGGTTCCGGCAGACTTTGCCAGCGGGCCCACTGCGGCATCCACATATCGGGCTTTACAAAATCGGAAGAAAGAGTCGCACACTGCTTTGCAGTCTTAGACAATAAGGGCTCTATGGGTCCCACGCTAAGAGGGTCACGTGCGGTAGCATAGTTTAAGTTGAACGAGGTTGTCAGGCGTTAGCATGGGGGCCTGCATGCTGGAACAGGGCTTGGTGCAAAAACGATATATTCACTACTCAGGGATTTAAGGTCACCTTTCTACTGGGATTTCAAGAGAACCCATATTTCTGATGGTTCAGTGTTTCGGAGTCTGTTTTTGGAAGTTCGGCTTGCCACAGGATTTGATGGCGTTGCGGTTATCCTTAGGCTGAGAGCCCCGGGTTGACGGCCGGGGCATCGATCTGCGGGAACGGCTTGGCACCTCTTACACAGACATCAACTGGTTGCTGCTCTATCAGTGTAGGTCTTCATGGTCGCACGAGGTTTAGTCTGGTGCTGGTGATGTCGACGAGGAGGATGAGGATGATGATTATGATTATGACGCTGATGACAATGATGGTGATGATGCTGACTATGAGGATAAGTGGCAGTGTGATGCTGCGGGCCATGCTTGGCATTGGGACTTGGACACTCTTACGTCAGAGTACGAGTATCCTTCGTAATCAAGATCACTGGAATTACTGCTCAAGAACCAGAGACTGTAAGTATGGTCGTCCTGGTGTTCTTGTACAATCATCGCTCTTTTTCTCGCCATGCCGAACCGTGAGCCGTTCGATTGCGGGGTGCACGGTTGAGGGTGTAGGGTTTAGGGGTTTAGGGTTTAGGGTTTAGGGTGCACGGTTTAGGGTGTAGGGTGTAAGGTTTAGGATTGAGGGGTTCAGAGGCTTGAGAGGTCCTGTATAGTATTGTTCTGCAAAATAATTCAATGGAACCCTAAAACTAGGTGTAATTAGTTAGGGTTCTATAGCAGGCAATTTCCGTCTTGCAGAAACCTAGCCGCATCGGTGGGGTGACGGCTCGTTTTTTGAAACAGCAGCGGAGCGATCCCCGAAGAGGAGACGTGAGTACGTACAGCGCGCCGGTGTGTCAACTGTGTGAGCTCCTTCCAACGCTTGAGCACACGTCGTGGCTGTGGCCTGTGCTGCACCTGAATTCGGAGGCTTCCTCCGCAATCCTGCCACCCAACTGTGCGACGCAGCTTGCTGAACAAAGATCTCCCAGCTACCCCATCAATCAAAAGTGACGCAGGGGCTGGCAGACGCATATAGTTGCGTCGGGGGATGCGCATCTATGTGCGACAGGATCCAAAAATCTGTACAGAAAGGAGATGGCTTCCAATTGCCAAAATGCTCAGCAAGTCTTGCACTCGTAGCCTCACGTCATTATCCGGCTCTTGGTCAGCCCATAGTTTCAAGCCCACCAGAAACCTTTAGGACGTGAATACCCCAAACATTCGAAGTACAAAGCGTTCCAAATCAATTTCGAAGTCGCGGAAGCACCAGTAGTTCCAAAGTCCGAGAATGCGTCCCTTCGCACAGTACTTGCCGCAAGGGCCTCACCGGCGAGATCACGGCATTGAACACAAACATTCAGGGCTTGAGGCTTCGGGCTGGGAGGAAGCAACGCGAGACCTCTTTCCGGCAGCTATGTCAAGGGTCGTGAGAGTAGGTCTGAGCGTGTGAATCTCAAGCAAACTCTGAGATGCGAATCGCAACACTAGCAGTGGGAATGCTGAAGCATGCAGGTAGTCTCAGTAGACCTCTGATGCTTTAGTCATCTAGGGGACTGCAAGAGAGAGGCGTCCGAAGTCTTATAGGGACTTAGAGCCCCCCCTACATGCCAACTTGCAGAGGTGCAAGAGACCGGGCTGACGGATGGCAGGTCCCAGCCGGAAGCGAAGCTTTTCTCCGGCACCTGGGGGGTGCCCTGCCGCGCCGGCACCTGGGGGGTCGTGCCCCAAGGAGTTTGGGCTCAAAAGCTCAGAGTCTTGGGGTTGAGGGCCTTGTTTTGGTGTTACGTTGGGCCGTGTCTTCATCGGGTAATCGGAAACTGTACTGGGGTCATGGTGCGAATTCTGGGAGTCACAGACACTACCTACTCTGTCGGCACTCACCGTCCGGAAAAACCCAGGGAATGACCGGAATGTCGGCTGGGTTGGAAGGATTCTGTACGAGGCAGTCGGTGCTTCAAAATTCGCATGCCCTATCCAAACTCGACTCGTCGTGGTGACAGCGTTAACTAGGCGCAACGCGACAGCTTCAACAGCCAGGACACGTCCTGGTCCATGCTTGCATATTGGTGACGTTTCACGAACAAACACCGCGGCGGGCTTGGGTCGTAATGGTCGCATCAGAATCAAAAGAAATAGTATTATGGTGCAGGGTAGAATAGACCATATTGGGCCCACAACACCTAGTCATAGTCCGATTATTAAGGCCCTTGCCGTGCCTGTTCAATCTCAGCACTCACCGCAGACTTCTGGTCGGCATGGGAGGGCTGACTGCCGCGCAGGGAGGTGCCGTTGCTCTCCGGGCATACCAGGCAGCCACATGCCTTCAGAAAGGTTTCCTAATTCTGCAGGCAGTATGGCTTCGCGGGAGTTTCTGAGAATCAAGGGCTCATGTTTCGTGGGAGCATGCACTTGGAAGAAGCTATTGGGGTACATCATAGCAGAACTGTTTACGGGCTATCGTTAGACAAGGGCTTTGGGGTAAATTGTGTGTGTCTGTGTAATTATGTATATATGCATATGTATATGTAGATATAGATATAGATACAGATACAGATACAGATACAGATATAGATATAGATATAGATATAGATATAGATATAGATATAGATAAAGATCTACGTCTACGTCTACGTCTACGTCTACGTCTATGTCTACGTCTACGTCTACGTCTATGTCTACGTCTACGTCTACGTCTACGTCTACGTCTACTACGTCTACGTCTACGTCTGCCTCTGCCTCTACCTCTACAAATACATATACATACACACACACACACACACAACACACACTTGCTACACTATACCATAACTGTATAAGGATTATGACCCCTGTTTGGCAACGGTCCTGTCACGTGTCTGAACGCCTCTGCACCTTGGGAAGGATCCAAGCCCGGCAGGATGAATCTAGCGACACTTGCCAGGGTTTAGGGTTTAGGGTTTAGGGTTTAGGGTTTAGGGTTTAGGGTTTAGGGTTTAGGGTTTAGGGTTTAGGGTTTAGGGTTTAGGGTTTAGGGTTTCTGAGGGCTTAGTATGGTTTAAGGTTTAGGTTGTTGAGGGGTTTCTTGGCGTTTAGGGTTCGGGCTTCAATTTCGGGGGCGTTGTAGAAGTGGCAAGGAGAAGACACGAGGTTCAGCTTCGGGAAACGCCGGCAAGAGGTTGCTTGCCTATGAATGTCCAAGGCCATCACATAGTGTAGAAGCCTGAAGAATTAACAACATGATGCTCTTACAGTCTTACAATTTCACTGCTGGGCGGATCATGGGACTCAGTAAGTAACCTTACAAGCACACTAAACCCTCCAAGTATCACATATACCCCAAAACCACGTTGCACTTGTTACGGGTGCGAGAAGGGCGAGCCTTGCCGATGGAGCCATCCTTCTCCGCACAGGACAAGCCACACTTGCAGTAGACGAAGTTGTCCCAGAAGCTCTGGGGCAGCGCTTCCAGCGCCGTCGCGGGAAGTTGAGGGATGTCCTCGGCCACAACGACGGCTAGCAGAGCCACGGCAACAAAGCTGCGGAGAGCCATGGCCATCGGCAAGCTAGTGAAGCGAGGAAACGGGGCAAGGACTTGCTGAGAAACCCCAAATGGCTGCTGGCATGAAGCTTCCCGCGAGAACACGATGGCTCTCAAGCCAAAATCCGCTTGATGTCTAGTGGGAGGATCATGGGACTTAGTGAGTAAGGTTATAGGAACTCGAATTGGGGCTGCACGTAACCAGAACAAAAGTTACCTCTCTTATAACCCTAGTTACTAAGTCCCATGATCCTCCAAGTAGATGCCCTCATCCTGTCGGGTGAGAGCACTGCCTCTGTTCACGGAGCCGCTTGAAACCCGCGCCTTGAAGCATCGCCCTAACATCAAGCAGTGGAATTCAGAAGTCATGTAAGGTGCTTCAAAATTTTAAAAGGGCCTTGGGGTTCTGGATGGTTTACTTTTAGTAAGCAACCCTTAGGATGGTAATTCGGCCCCTGACTATCTGAAGGGCCATGACGCTTCCGCCGCCTCCAGGGGGAGGATGCCGTCTAGTTTCAAGTTCCATCCAGAACTCAAGGGACTAAAGGAGGGTTTAGTGTAGGGTTTAGGGTTAGGGTTTAGGGTTTCGTGTTTAGGGTTTCCCTTAAAGGGACCTTTGGGGTTTTATAGAGGCTTGATCCTCCTGTTGTCCCGTAAAGAACGCCACAAAAAGCGGGTTTCCAACAATGAGCGGCATCGGATTTCGTGGTCCTGAAAAGACCGCGTCTTAATAATCTTCATTAATCTTATTAATCTTATTCATCTTATTCATCTTATTCTCATCTTATTCTCATCTTATTCTCATCTTATTCTCATCTTATTCTCATCTTATTCTCATCTTATTCTCATCTTATTCTCATCTTATTCTCATCTTATTCTCAACTTATTCTCATCTTATTCTCATCTTATTCTCATCTTATTCTCATCTTATTCATCTTATTCATCTTATTCATCTTATTCTCATCTTATTCATCTTATTCAGCATATTCATTTTATTCATCTTATTCATCTTATTCATATTATTCATCATATTCATCTCATTCATCTTATTAATCTTATTAATCCTATTAATCCTATTAATTTTATCAACCTTATTAATCTTATTAATCTGATTAAATTCTTCTTCATTTTTAAATTTTAATCTTTACAATCCTTTTAATCGTTTTAATCTTATTAATCTATTAATCTTATTATCTATATTAATTCTTATTCATCTTATTCATATTATTTCATTCTTATTCACTTACTAATCGTATTCATTATCCATCTTAATTCATCTTTTAAGCATAATCTTTTTTGTTTAATCTATGAATTCTTATCATTCTTATTCATCTTATTCATTCTTATTCTTTTTTCATCTTATTCATAGTATCTTCTTATTCATCCTTATTCATCTTATTCATCTTATTATCATCTATTCACTTATTCGTATTATCAGCTTTCATCTATTCATGTGATTCATCGATTCATCTTATGCATCTTATCTTATTATCATTATTATCATCTTATTGGTTCATCTATATGAATCTTATCTTCTTATTCATCTTATTCGATTATGTCATTATTCATCTTATTCATGTTTTCATTTATTCATCTTTTATGCATCTTATGAATCTTATTCATCTATTTCATTATTCATACTATTTATCTTATCATCTTATTAATCCTATTCATATTATTCATCTATTCATCTTATTATCATCTTATTATCTTTATTCATCTTATTCATCTTATTCATCTTATTCATCTTATTCATCTTATTCATCTTATTCATCTTATTCATCTTACTCATCTTATTCATCTTATTAATCTTATTAATCTTATTAATCTTATTAATCTTATTAATCTTATGAATCTTATGAATCTTATGAATCTTATTAATCTTATTAATCTTATTAATCTTATTAGTCTTATTAATCTTATTAATCTTATTAATCTTATTAATCTTATTAATCTTATTAATCTTTGTAATCTGAGTAATCTTATTAATCTTTGTAATCTGAGTAATCTTATTTATCTTATTAATCTTTTGAATCTTTTTTAATCTCATGAATCTCATGAATCTCATGAATCTCATGAATCTCATGAATCTCACGAATCTCACGAATCTCGTTCATCTTCTTCATCTTCTTCATCTTCTTCATCTTCTTCATCTTCTTCATCTTCTTCATCTGCTTTATCTTCTTAATCTTCTTGATCTTCATAATCTTCTTAATCTTATTAGTCTTAGTAATCTTAGTCTTAGTATTAATATTAATAATATTCTTAATATGACTAGAATTGGGGTTCTGTTGAGGAGCTTTTGCAGTTACCATTGAAGGAGAGATCTTGCCATATCGGCATGCTTTTTAGCGCCAGTGATTCTGCTATTCAGCCGCTTTGAAGAAAGATCCCTAATGCTGGCAGCAAAAACCATTTTTGAAAAAACCTCTTTGCGGTGCTTTGTTTTGATTGGCGGTCAGCAAGCCGCCAGTCCGCCACAAGAAGAGCCAGACCATGCGCTTGGGCCTCACTACTTGGAACATTAATCATGAGCAGCAAGTCATTCAATCAGCCGCACACCACTCAGGACCTGTGGAACTCGAGAGCAGGAACGGCGTTCGCGCGTGAAAGCACACAAGAAAGATGCAATATATGGTGCGCATGATTTTCAAGTCTTGAATTGGTTGATCCACATCCACACATTCAAACTCATTCAGCACGGCAGCCTTGGCCTTAAAGCCAGTGTTAGTGGGAACAAGAAAACCATAACCTTTGCCCCGGCTTCCTGCTGGTCACTTGCAGAGCATTCCTCTGGTTGTTCCACTATTGTTCTGCGTTTGGCGCGACAGTTACAGACAAACTTCGCTGGTCTCTGAAACAAGTCTTGAAAGTCGTGGGAGATGATGCTTCAGCAGCAATTTATAATGTCAGGTCACCCCATGTCTTTATTTTGAGTAGTAGACAATCCATGCAATTCCTGCTGACCACATAATCATACGTAGCATGCCCTTATAACTCCAACGCATCCGTCAGGCCTATGTTGCCATCTGTCCAGCATGCAAGCCCGAAGAAGTTTCTGGAGTCTAAGAGGACTCTTTTGAATGGTATGCAGCCTTTTGCAAAACCCGGCTCTCTTCTTTTGTGTTTTTCCATCCCCCTGGTTTCTCGTTTTTGTTTCTTGTGCTCATTTTTCGAAAATCATTGGAGAAGTATCAGGAGAATGATTTTAAATTCCACCTCTGCCGCAGCCACCCCCCCCTCATTTGCTGCTTGTTGTTGCCAGCCCACCCCTCTCCCCGTGTAGAATGGAAAAGCTGAAGAAAGGAGTAAGGGTAAGGGAAAGGAAAGGAGCTGGAGTTAGGGTTCGGGTTAGCCCCAACCCTGCTGTCAGGTAGGGTTGGGGTTAACCCAACCCGAACGCGAGTTGGGGTTCAGGCTATCCTAACCTGCTACCTGGAGTTGGGCTTTCTGTCAACCTGAACCCTAACTCAGGTTGGGGTTCGGGTCGAATTCGAACCCTAATACCACGTTAGGGTCCGGGTTAACCTTAACCTTAACCTGGGCTAGGGTTGGCCCGTCCCGAGGTTGTAGCCTGAGTTGAACCCTAACCCTCAACCCCAGCCTGCAGGGTATGCTCACTGTCTCGGTCCTGCTGGATCGACGAGTACCCCATCACGGAGAACTACCTAGTCCGGATCGATCAAGATCACCGCTTCGCAATCCCGGAGTTCATACACGAGGCACCATGGCTACCAGCCTGCAGCAAATCTATGACAGCTTAGGGCAAGAAGTAGATCCACAATTGACTTCACAACATCATGACCACGGTCACCTTCTTCCAGTTCTACCAGTTGATCAACTCGAACCAGGGCAAGCGCCATGGTGGAGACGCCCAATCAAACCTGAACTATTACACATGTTGCCACAAGTGGAGCCCCACCACTGGGAACTACAAGAAGACGGCCACCAGTCATCCGGTATTACCCCAACCGGATGAGTTTTCTACCCAAGCAGCTCGTCCACAAGTTCCCGTCCATCACTCAAGAGGCACAGAGAAGCGTCCTCATGTCCTGGAACGAGTATATCGATGACCCGGCTACTCACGTACAGATGATCCGCCACGCAGAATCCCTCAAAGAGGACTCCGAGAAGCGCCGGCACCACCAAGTCAAAACACTATTCAGGGACATTATGACGGGCCCCTCTGGACTTCGCATCCTGCAGTTCACGGCATACCAGTTTCGCATGATGGTACGCAAAGGCACCAACCCCGATATGACCACTATGCCCAACATATACCAGCTGTGGCATTGGGGATACGTCAAGTTCAAAAGCGTCAACGAGGAACTCTGGATTTTCGCACACAATTTTGCGGACCCTCAACTCATGGCCAGGCTGGAACAAACGTGCGTTCACTTCCACAGGATTTGGGCCACGCAAGTTGTTCCTAGCACAGCAGGTCTTGTGCCCATCCTACCCAAGACACAAGACCTATGCGTCGTGATCCACAACACCAATCCTCCGTTTCACCAACCCATGACAGCCAGATACAACACCATCTCCGGCATCATGACCTCTCAGGCCGTCAGCAACATCGTATTTCGCAAAATCCATGCCGACGTACAACTACACAGAACGTGGCCTAGTGTGGATGCGACCACTCAGTCGGATTATGAGGATGATACTTTTATACTACCAGATCATTGGCCGACCAACATATGGACCGACACATTGCAAAAGTTGACCACCACATCTCCATGGACGGCACCATTGGAATCCGACATCAGAACCAAGCTCACCGTTGACCACATCTTCCACGACGTGATCCCACACATGATTTGGACGCCCAGGTTCGCCATACCGATGACGTCACAACAGCTTCATGCCATCCAAATATCCACCAAAGCAGCACACGTACTTCACCGACTATGGGATCCACTTATTTTCACGTTTGCTGATCCGTGCCATGCATCACGTGGCCATGATACCAGACAATCCAGTCAACCGCAAATATCGGAAAAGTTCTACAAGATCGACGACGAAGGCAACATTCCCATGATAGCCATACCGGCCAGCAGTGTTAGAGAAGCACATGCAGACTGGGCGTGGTTCCAATCTCAGCAGGAACCACAAACACCGTTCAGATGGCTTGCACTACCACTTGCCACTACTACTTTGACCAGAAACCATTCAGTTTTCTGGATCAAAGCTGACCCAGGCCAGCAATCGCAACGCCGCCACGCTCGACATGTTCATCAACACAGTTGGTTCACATTGGATGGAGTGTTCCAACCATTCCACCATGATCCTCCACTTGAACCGAACCAGGCTGTCCCCACACCGACGCGGCAGCAGGAGTGGGAAGACTTCATTGGCCAACGACGAGCTCTCCTTGAACTACAACGATGTACCACGAAGGATCGACCAGAAGAACCACATGAGTGGCATCATGCACGTTGAAAGTATCATTTGCAGAGAGAGTTGCCGACCTTGTTTCACCATACCATGTGCACCCATGCAACGTGACTTGATTCCGGAGCGATCACTGCCCTGCCCATGACATGTAAGCATGACACATCCCATGCACGCGGCATGTGATCATGAGAATCGAGAGCGCTCTACATGCTTGTTCATGCCGTTGCAGCATCTATCCCAAGTTTCACAGCACGCTTCAGAGCCAAATCGCATTCACGACATGACGGACAGAGCCCGACGACATGATGATTACAGAAATCGTTCTCCTGACCGACACCAAGAGCGACACTTCGCCAGACCGTCCAGGAGATTCAGTACACCACGACCTTCAAGGCGGCAGAGAAGCAGATCACGCCAGCCCCGATCCTCCTTCGCATCAAGAAGAAGCTCTATTCCACTCTCGGGACAGACACACGGGAAGCATCGATCATCAAGGACAAATAGTCCGAGACGCTCCCTTAGCACAAGAAGTGCAGCACGCAGTCGAAGCCCTAGATTTACAGGCCACCAGAGACTTCCAGTGTACCGCAACTCACCGGCCACCTCTCAACCGTCCACCGCGACTACGCCCCACCCCACTCAACCCAAAACCCGAGCCAAAGAGATCTTGAGAGACATCTTCAGTCAACCTGACAACGACCTCCCGGAGCATTGGGACACCACGGACACGCTCTACGACCAAAACCAGTACGGTGGACTACAGATGCCCAGAACGGTTCCGACCACAGCATCGGCACGCAAGAACGGTACGTCAGGTATGGATCCGTTGGACATCAAAGTTTGGCAAGTGGCTTTCGAAGGCAAACACAACTATATGCTTCGACAATTAGCGAATGGGAGATGGACACAGTTTCAAGGACACAAGTCATTGCCGGACGCGATCTTCCACATGAAATTGTCCACCTTCATTCGCAACCGAGGCATTCGTGTCGAAACCATTGCAGTCAACTACTGGAAGTGGAAGAACGGCACAGAGATGCTCCCTAGCGAAGCTCAACGCAAAGAAGCCATGGACCTCCTCGTCAGCAACATCGGAGACCTCCTCATGCGCTACAACAACCCACCAGCAGTCCAACCTCAAGTACGAGCTCAACTTGCTGAGAAGGAAGCTGAGATTGCAAATCTACGTGCCCAACTTGCCAGCCAGAACCGCAAAACACCCTTTCCCCAAGGCATCATCCCACCCACCCAGACACAAATGCCACAGTTCTTCGAGGCGGCACAAGGCCACACGCAGCCTTCTTTGACACAAGCAGGAGCACACGCCACCGTACCCATGGCCCAGATGGCAAGCACCTCCCAACCAGCCTCAATCAGCCAAACAAACCCAGTTAACCAAGCTCCATCGATCCAGACCATGCCACCTCCGCCCCCTCCAGCCCAACTCCAAACCCACGTGGACGCGGACTTTGATGACGCTCACATCGGCGGCATAGACACACCATCCTACCAACCCAGCCCGGTTTCAGATGCCCCCACGCCCAAGCCCTCCCCGGCACCCCAACCATTTGACTCGCCCAACACCAGACAGAACAAGGTGCTGCTTGACCTCGTGAAGACCTTCGACACCGATGAACTCATCCAGTACCTCAGCGACATTGCACCCAAGGCGGAACAGTCTGAGGCCATCAAGATGGACAAAATCAAACAGGTTCACGAACTCACAAGCTCGCTGACGCGATATGCAGCACCATCGGCTACGTCGTGGATAAATACCTTGAAGCTGAGTGGACCAAGACTGCAAGCTCAAAAGGATATAGCCACACGTCTCACTGTCTTCGCGGAGGCCAACCCCAAGAGCGAAGCATACCAAGCCATGGTGAAAGCTTGGTCACTTCCGAAGTTATCCAACACAGCTGGCACAGCAGCAGTGGCCACAATGGTCGCCGGTCTCGCGGCTTACCTACATTGACTAGGCACCTTATTGACATTCACACAACCATCCGGACGCCTCAACAAAATGCACACCTCCATGATGAGGTGTATGGACATCGCGAAAGACGTGGTCCAGTACACCTATCACCGCATCCCTTTTCTACACCGATATTCCACCTGGCTCTATGGCAAATTTTGGATCACAACCCTATGGCATTTTCCTCGACGAAAAGTCGAAAAACGACGACTCGCCCGCCTTCGAGAATTTCACCGTCTCACCCCGCAGAGCTACACATTCGAGTTCTTCAACACGCCGAACGCAGTATATTGGCGAGTGGACCATTCACGATTACATGAACGCATGTATGTCGGCAGCACAACCAACAAGATCACCACACGGGAAGACAACAGAAGCAGAAAGCACGATTCTGTGGCTGCCCAGAAGCTGGTCAATGCAGAGCCGGCCATTCACTACTGGCACGCCACTGGCACGTACTGGGAATATGTACCGGTCAAAGTCCGACACGCTCGTGATGTGGCAGAACTTCACATGCTCGAACAGTCAGACATATCAGACCTTCAACCATCCCTCAACGCACCCTTCATCTACAAGCACTTCAAAGAAGACACTGGTCGCACATTCCAACCACAAGTCATTGCCAATGTCAACGTATTTGCCAGCAAGCTTCGAGCTCGACTTCAGCGTCACTTACGTCGCAAAACATCCACATGGAAATCCGTCAAGACTCGAGTCGATGGCAGAGCGAGAATGTGGGGCATCATCACCGCATTGTGCTCTACTACTGCGTTGAGATGGAAGACTACACGCTCAATCCTCAATCCCAATTTCCCCGCCGAGAACATCTACATGCTGCTACGCATGGCCAACATATTGGAGTCACCATACAAAGAATTTTGCAGATCCGCACTGACCAAAGCACTGGAAAAGCGGGAAATGGAGTTTCCCAACATCCAACCTCTCGTCGTCAGCCTGATCCCGCCGATGGACGCATGCAAACAACATCTTCGAGAAGTTCTTCGTGCCCTACTAACGACGCACAGTCATGAATTATGTGCACTACATGTACCAAAAACTACGGTTGTGGTACGACCAGGCTCAAGTATTGAATCTCAGTGCCACAATTGGCAAAAGATATGCTTCGGACCAAAGCTGAAAGGAAGATGCACGTGCCCCACACCTACCAGAGATCTGGACAAACACCAGGTTATCGATCTTCATCTTCAACATGCACATCCCGATGACCCACTACACCATATCGTCACTTATTCATCCAAGACGGGGACCTTTTCAGAGCCGGCTACGTGGATATCACAAACAACACAGGACTTCGTGCTCCACTCAAGCTTACCTTTAAGCCAACAAAGAACAAAGACACATGAGCCTACACTTGGTGTGGTTCAGAGAGCGCAACGCTTACAGTAACGCACTCACTCGGACATTCCTTTTTTTCACGTGGAAGCGTGGGCAAACATGCACATGCGGGCCTCACGCCACGCAAGGACAAACCTTCTGCCTTGGAAAGCCTGTGTAGATCTACTTGGCACCTCATGCAAAGTTGCAATACGAACCCAGCACTGACTCCCCCGGATGAGGGAAGCCATGCAGGCAGAAGAAGATCCACAGGCGGGATCCGTCAGGCACGGATCGGTCACACCCACTGGGATGGGCGGGCGGGCAAAGAAAATTTTCTGCATCTCTCAGCTGTCAGCCACTGTTACCGGGCATGAAGACTGCATACAAGCTGTCAAGGTGACATGCAGAGAGAACATGAAAGATGGGCATGCAGAAAATTTTGAAAGCACTGTGAAAACTCTTTTTGTTTTTCTTAAAGGCACGGTTGCAGGCAACCTAAGCGTTCGCTCCTCACGAAGGCGCTATCAACAAGTTGACAGCAAGCTTCGTGCTCCACTCAAGCTTACCTTTAAGCCAACAAAGAACAAAGACACATGAGCCTACACTTGGTGTGGTTCAGAGAGCGCAACGCTTACAGTAACGCACTCACTCGGACATTCCTTTTTTTCACGTGGAAGCGTGGGCAAACATGCACATGCGGGCCTCACGCCACGCAAGGACAAACCTTCTGCCTTGGAAAGCCTGTGTAGATCTACTTGGCACCTCATGCAAAGTTGCAATACGAACCCAGCACTGACTCCCCACATTATCCGACTTTCACCTTTTTACCTTTTTCCTTAAGAAGTTTTCGAAAACAGCCTTAAGGGTTTGACGGACGTCAACTGCACCAACCAAAGTGTTGCCATGAACGTAGGACTCCAGCTTTGTTCGAGAGGGATGGTCAGCAGGGTTAGACGGAGAAGGAACCCTGGCGTACCATGCTTTGACATCGAACTGCTCCTCGCTCTCCAGCAAGACATTTAGAAGCGCTTGTGCATTGTCAGACCTCGTGCAGCCTGAAATCGCGATGTCGCGGGAGGCATTGTTATCAACGAACCACAGCACAGGTGCATGTCTGATGACGTGTCCCCATACAAGCTGCGAAACAATAACTGCCAAAAGTTCAGCTTCAAAAATGACCGTCTTACGAAAACCCTCGGTCAATGCTTCAATCTGCCAGCGCTCAAGTTGCTCGGAAAAGGCACCTAGGAGTTTACCTCTGTCAGAAAACAGCAGGCCACCAATACCGCACGCCCAGTCCGATGCCTCTGGGTCGAAGCAGGCGTCCGTGAAGATGACGAATTTTTCCCGCAAAGATCCGTTCAAGACTCTGGGTTTGTGCTCCAGAAGCATCTTCCTGAACCTGTCCAGAGCGAAAACGCAATCCTCACACAAGGTATCGGACACATCACTATAGGCGTGCTTGGTGACTTGTCTAAGGCACATCCTAGCGGACCTTCCAAACAATTGACTGTCAGCAAACTGCATGCGTCCCCTCAACCTCAAGGCCAGAGGCTGTTTGAGGGAACCAGCGTCGAGTATGTCGCCAATGGACCCACAGAGTTCGCTCACCCTGGATGGGGTGTTTGCAAACTTCACAACTTTGTTCGCGCTCTCCTCTAAATCGACGACGATGCCAAGAGCTTCGAAAGACCTCCTGAACGGCAAGTCCTTCTTTCCGTCACTGGACAGTGTCCAGCCCAGGAGCTTGAATAAGCGCTTGATGGTATCGTCAGTGCTGTGTGCGAGGCTGCCCGAACAAATCGTGATGAAGTCATCGAAATAGCAAACCCAAGGGAGGCTTAACCCAACAGTCCCTATGAACCAGATGCTATGCACTACGCGCAGAAACGAATAAACGCTTCTGCACGCGCCGAAAGGCAACGCTTTGAGCCTGAAGCACACGGGGGCGGCACGCTCATGGTCCCAGATGCAAACGTACGAGCACCAAGCGGAACTCTGGGACACCGCCAGCTGTCGATATGCTGCTTTCAAATCATGGGTACGACCCAAGAGTGGCTCATTGGTGGACCTCATGAGCTGAATGGCAAGTGCAGCAAGAACGTCGGTGGAATGGGGCTTTGGAGACTCATTTGTTTGGACACACGAGTTGACGTGCGATGCACTGAGGTCGTCTATCAGACGTACCTTTGACCCTTGCTGGATCCCGAACCGGCGAGAGACTACTGAGCCGTTAGGCAGCTCAGACGGATCAAAGGGCCCTTCCAACCAACCTTTCTGTAGTTCTTCAAGGGTTTGCTTCTTTACTTCTTGGTCAAGCAAATCACCCTGCGACTTAACACTCCGGAAGACACTGTGCCTGCCCTCATCGGCGGTGTCTCGCAACAAGTCCTCGGACATTGCCGCGGGTTTGAAAACAGGGTTGAATAGCCCAGTACTCGGAACTTCACCAGTCAACATGGTCCCTGAAATCACCTCCTCGATGACAGTTTTGTCAGGGTAGTTGAGGTCATCTGAGATTTCGCGCCAGACAAGAAGGTTTTTAGGTTCAAGGATGCCTCGGACGTCGGGATGCATGCCATCCTTGAGTTTGCATTCGTCTGTCCTGAGTTCCAAGCACCGTTTGAAATATTTTTCAAACCAAGCTGTGCGCTTCCCTTCAAGGGCCGACGCTGTCGTCGCATTGCAATTCACTTCGACGGCTTGAAGAAGTTCGCTGGGTAATTGTGCTTCTTGGGCCACAGGGTGGACAGCTTTGCAAGCACACTGAATGAATTCACTTGGCGACCACGGAATGCCCCACGCCAATTCAACATGCCTACGAGTTTCCTCATCCTGCTTTCCCATTTTAACCGGACTGAGACGCAGCAACTGAGCATAGGGAGGTATGACCTTCAAGCTGCATTGACAATCCGCAGGCACCGGCCAAGCCTGCTCGAGGCGTTGCATGGGTTGGCAAGGCGGGACCAGGCTGGCGGCAGGCCCCCGGACCACGCAAGTGGTCTTGTACTCCGGGACCAAGGCTGGCACCTTGCTAGCTTTTGGTTGAAGTCCAGCCAGGCTGCGTAACGCCGGAAGCTGAAGGCCCGGCGGCTCGACAGTGGGAAGGGCACTCGCGAAGCACTGCGCAATGGCATGAGCCAAGGGACGAGGGTAGGCGGTCTCCCGACTGGTGGCGAAACCGTTGGGGGCCGCGGGGTCGACACCCCAAGACGCATGCGCAGGGCAGCCGGGACACAGCTTGCACACGGACTCGAAAGAAGGGTGCGTGTAGGCAATCCGGGTGAACTTGGGGCGGTCGCCACCATAGGCGCACGCCTGGTGATCCACATAGCGAAAAGCATGAGCCACGTCGCGCCAAAAGGAAGTCTTCCAAAACAAGGATGACCGCGGATTCTCCACAGCAATCAAGATGCCACGCTGCACACCCAGGCGCACGGCCTGTCGAAGCGCCAGGTAGCTTTCGTTTGCAAGGCGCACACGGCGAGCATCACCGGGGGGGAGGTCGGGCATACCGTCCGGGTGACGGTCTGACCGCAGAGGCCGGGGCACAGGCACCGGATTGCCCTGGCTGTCCCAGCACGGAATGCCACGGGCCAGAGAACACGTGCCACAAGCCGGAGCGGCGAACAACCCCAAGACGCGCGGGTTTTGCACAAGTTGGAGCAGCTGGGCAAGGCCGTCTGGCGTAGAGACATCGAGCACCCAGGGCGGGGCGGCACACCCAACGCTCTTGACCTTGTCAATGGCAACAGCCTCAAAACCAAGTGCACGCAGGGCCGCAGTGACGCGACCAGACCCGGAGAATAACTCCAAAATTAAAGGCGGGGTGGGGGGCGTGAGGGGCCGCACAGGGGCAGGCTGGACTAGGGAACCGGGATTAAGGAAACCCAAACTAAGGAGTTCCTGTCGTTCCTTCTCGGACAGCCGCTCCCAACCCTGAAGGCAATATCCCACAAGCAAACACCGAACGCCTTTCCAAGGGAGTGTGGCATGCAGGCGGCTGGCGTCTAAGGTCTGGGGCCCCAAACTGACGCGGAGCCGTATGCCCAGGGCATCGTGCCCTGCCAGCGGAACACCGCCAACTGGAGATTCTTGCCAGACGTCGCCGTCCCGGAAAAGGCTGAGTGGCAGAAGCAGGTTGGGGAAACCAGGCACGTTGCAGGAGTCAACGTGCGGTTCCGCGCGCAGGTTTGTGAACACAGCAGCATTCGTGAATGCGTGGCCAGGGAAGTGCTGGCGAAGTAGAGCACAAAAGAAACGTGTCACAGCGGGGAAACGTTTCGTGAAGCCGCGAACGCCCGCACGGGCACCCCAGGTCCACATGCCGCAGGTCCAGGAGTGAGAGGCACTATGCGCTTGGCCCCGTGCGGGGACCTCAGAGGGAAGCAGGCAAAGAATGCGCCGGGCAGCTTCAAGCGAAGGGCTGTTGACAGAGGCACGGGCAAGATGCTCCGCACGAGCCACGTCCACGACCCACTGGCAGGGCGAAGGCTGTTCACGTAAGTCAAGAGCCACAGCAGGCCTGGGGGCAGAACAGGATGCGTCATCAGCGCGGACTGGCGCCTGCACAGTCGCTTCACGTACAGGTGCTTCAGGGCGGGGCTCGGTATGGGGGTCCACCGGGTCCATTCCGGGCCCTTTTTCCGCCGTTCTTTTGTCAGAAACCGTCCGTTCTTTTGGATGGCAATTCGGACGCAAAAGAACGGACGCTCTTGGGGAACTTGGAAGCCCCCAAAACCCAGCAACAAGCCCCACATCGGACCCCAGCGAACCCTCATAGGGCTCGGGTTGGGGTGGCAGGTCACTTGCAGAGCCAGGTGACCTGACGGACGCGGCAGTGCTAGTGGGAACAACAGAGGTGCTTAAGGAGGGAGCAACCGGGGGCCTAGGGGAGGGAGGAGACTTAGGGAGCAGAGACACGGGCTCACCAAGGGGCCTGTATGCAGGAGAAAGATTAGCCCGTTCGCGAACTTCCAGAACAGGTTGGCCTGAAGCGGGGAGATCGCGAGACTCATCTGTGCAAAGGGCAGGAGTCAGCACCTGCGGGGGAAGGTCAGACATCTTCGCCACGTCAGGCTGGCTAGCAGAAAACGAATTCGAAGTGACACTGGTCGAAGCGGCTTCTGGCGATAGTCACTCTTTGCGCTGGCACTGCATGAGGCTATGATTGCCGAAACAACGCGCGCAGACATGGGCACGGGGGCAGTTGGCCACCCGGCACTCCCCAAGGCTGAACCCGTAGCAGATGGCTTTGCCATCGGGCGTTTGGGCTTTGCCACCCTTGTCGAGAATGGCCTTGGGGACAGCCGCACGGTTGGCAGCACCTTTGCCTGGACCTTTCGGGGGGCGAGCAGGTGGGTCCTTGGGCGCAGGGGGAATCTTCTCAGCTTTATCATCCTTCTTGCCCTTGTCATCTTTGGTCTTCTTGCGCTTCCTTCCTCGACCGCCGCCACTCCCAGCAGCCGTGCTTCCACGAGGGATCAAGACGAAGGAAACGCGATACGACGAGAGCGCTTCAAAGAGAGCGTCATCCATGGCGCGGGATCCGTCACTCTTGCGCCGGGGCCGGATTCCTTTCTCAAGCATCCACACATGAACCAAGCGGTCAGCCTCGACAACTTGATGCAGCTGGCAAGCACCCCCTGGCAGGGCGTCGGGGTTTGTCAGGTGTCGCATCAGCTCATTGACGTATTTTTCATGTGCAAGAAAATCAACCACATCTGCAAATGCCAGCGCCAGTCCTCGACGACGGAATGCTGCAGAGAGGAGCAAGGGGTTGTGAACTTGGGCGTCACACGGGAGCTCCTGGTCCTTGAGAACAAGCCCGCTGCTGCTCCAGCTCGACGACACGGGCGAGGGGCTTGGCAAGGGCCACCTCGCTCAAGCGGGAGGTGCATTTCTCAGGGGCGATATACCTTATCTCATCCAGCGAACTCATGGTGCAGGCCAATTCCAACAGGGCCCGGCTGGGCTCCGCATCGCCTTCTATGATCACACCGGAAACCTTGGCCTTTAAAGCAGCCATGCGTTTGTCGCGCTCTGCTTCTGCAAGGGGTCGGGCGGCAGAGGCACTGGGGTTGGTAACCTGGTCCTTGAGATCTGCCAAGGTAAGTGTTTGCGCCTCGAAGACGAGTCGGCGTACACTCGCAGCTTCCCCGGCTGATGCGGCGGGGATGGAGGTTTGGACCCAAGTATGCCACTGATCATCGGCTAGCTGTTGACCTGGTTGGCCCACGCAATAAGCGAGCTGCCCAAGAGTCTCAAAACCCAGACGCGTCAAGGTACGTATGAGGGGCTCGCCGATGCGGAACAGCTTGCATCTCGCCTGAAAGTGAGCGGCAGACTCCAGCACAGACATGGGGCTCTCACGCAGCGCACTCGAGAGGCTACTTAGGGGCACCTACTTCACATGACAGAATGCACCCGAACAACTTCACATGACTGAGTGTAACTGAACATCAAGATGTCAATCAGGAATCAACACAACAAATCATGGCATGAAAGCATTGGTCATGTCGTCACCAACCTCGACTTGATGGGGGGGGCGAGAGAGAACAAGCAGCCGACATGACTCACGTTCACTCATGCTCAACCCCCCCCCCCCCCTTGTCCGTGCACTCGACCGAAAAAAAAGGCAGACAGCAGCATGACAGTTGTGAGGGCGCAACACTTCATTGCAGACCCTAGGTCGACTACTTACCTTCGCAAGCAGAGGGACCCGACTTTTCCACAACCGTCAAATGCATCGCCGGCAACCTTGACACTCGACCGCATCCAGGTCAGCATCCTCGGCAACTCTGTACGCATCGGAGCGCACACGTCCGCATGCAAGAACTTGAAGGCACGCATCAAGATTGCTTTGGCCGCGGACCAAGTGCAACTTGCGGGAACGACGGTGGATCACCCAGACCCAGACGTCGGACTCATCCCGTGTCTCAGGCAGAAAGCGGCGGGCCTTTTTGCTGAGGGGAGGGCTTGAGGAAGGGGTCACACTGTCCGAGCTGCTGCTTCGGGAGGCCTCAGAAGCGGAGGAATCCTCGCTGCTCTCATGCGCAGACTCCTCGGCTTCGGAGGCGGAATCTTCAACTTTGATGGCTCCGGAGGGTCGCACCACAGGCAAAATTGGTGCTAGGCCAGGAGAGGCTTCACAAGACTCGCTCCAGAAAGCGCGCAAAGGAGCATCTGGCATGAACACCCCAAGAGCCACCTGATGCAACAAGCGAGAAAAGGCCAACGACGGGGCCGCGCTGAGGTCACGGCTGTACACAACCTCAGTCGTGAGTTGATTGCGAGCATGCCGACCCAAGACAGCACAAGTATCACGGTCCATGCCAGCGCGCGTGCCAGCCTTGGATGCCCAGGACAGGCCAGTGACCTTGAGGGAATGGGAGGACACGCCGGAGTCCTCAGGCAAATCGAGGGCTTGACGAAGCATCCTGGACACTTCTTGCGAGGACACGGGGCGAGCACAGAGGGCAGAGCACTCAGCATCAAGGGGTGGGCGGAAAATGGGCCCGTCAATCTTGCCAATTAAACACAGGTTAACAGCTTCAAACGCCTGGATTGCAAGAGGCAGCCAGGGACGAGAGACCACTCCCTGTGCAGGGACCAAGATATGCAAAAACTGCGCCTTCTTCTTGGCGGTGGTCGAGGTCTTGTGACGACCCGTTCGAATCTGCAGAAAGCCCGAAACACCATCGAAATCGCACTCCAGGTCCCAGATGCACTGCAGGTCAGAGTGCCGACATCGTCCATAGACGGCGATCAAGGCATATGCAGCGAAGCAACGCAACAGGGGGTCGTCGCTGCCTTCGAGAAGTTCATGCAATTTGCGAACCTGATCAACTGTTAATGCACGAGCCTGCTTGAGCCAACCGGTCTTAGCAGCCAACTGCTGACTGGCACCGACGATGCGCCGGCTAGAAATGCATACCTGCACATCCACCTCAAGGACGTAGTGCAAGAACCGCATGGCAGAAAGCAACGTCGAACCGCTGGTCGGAGGCTTGTTTTCTTTCTTCAAGTACTGAAAATGTTCCCAAACAAGAGTCTCTTGGAACACACCCGAGAAGGACAGATTTGCAAGGGGCTGACCATCGACCCAACGAAGATAGGCGAGGAGGGAATTGGCCCTCTTGATCAACGTGTAGGGGCTGCGGAGCCCCGTCCTGGCCTCAATGTCCTCAGGGTCGGGCGGCTGTCCTGTGCACCGTTCCACGACGACACACAACTTATTGATTGCAATGTGAAGCAAACTTCCAAGGGTCTCATTAATATCGCAGTCAGCAACATTAGAAATCGTGGTCTGAAAGAATGACTTCAAGTCGGTCACATGCTCCAAGCACTCGACCAGCCGATCAGGCGTGCTCACCTCTGGCGGTAACAAGGGCTCCAAGGATGGGGATTGCACAGCAAAGTCGGCATCATCACCGAAAATTTCTGCATCTCTCAGCTGTCAGCCACTGTTACCGGGCATGAAGACTGCATACAAGCTGTCAAGGTGACATGCAGAGAGAACATGAAAGATGGGCATGCAGAAAATTTTGAAAGCACTGTGAAAACTCTTTTTGTTTTTCTTAAAGGCACGGTTGCAGGCAACCTAAGCGTTCGCTCCTCACGAAGGCGCTATCAACAAGTTGACAGCAAGCATTCTCAAGTGGTGCCGACGAAATGGATTAGCCGCACCATCAGAAGAATCCGTCAGACTGGCACTCGAACCCGCTACACGGGAAGCTCTCACGCAACCCACCATCTACATCGACCACGCCATGGTGAAACAGCTCCAGGAGAAGTACAACGGCTACATATTGGCATGTGAGGACCATCACCCTCACAAAATGCTAGCGTATTGTCCGTTGCACTTCCAACAGCTCATGGACAAAATGTACGGAGACCCACAAGTATTCACCAAGCTCAAGCTCACACCTGTCGCCGCAGCCCACAATGCATGGCATCAACTACCTCAACGCCTCAAGATCAAGTATGCGTGGGGCATTCGACGACACAAAAGCTTCAAAGTTCCGGTGTCGTATATTTTCCCCAAGCGAAAGAAGGGATTCATCAAATCACGGCCCATCGTATCCTTCGCCCAGCACTTCGAAGCTGTTCTCCGTGGTTGCCAAGGTACTAACCAATATCATATACCAGGCATTCCCCGACGCACTCCAGCAGGACAACTCCTACAAGATCTTCCAGGACCTCCACACGTTCATGCAGGTCAGCACAGGAGAAATGCACCTCCAGATTGCAGATCTGGCAGGCTTCTTCACCAGCGTTCCACAAGATCGAATTCTACAAGCACTTACCATCACATTACACAAGTACTACAACACATCCCAAAGAGGCTTCAACCACTGGCAGGACGTCACCATCACGTATGACACCAAGAAGACATTACGCACAGCCAGAACGTTCAACGGCAAGATCAGGAAGATCAACCAAGGACGATTCACCATCCACATGCGCGACATTTGGGACATTGCACAGTACGTCCTCAAGTGCAGCTACTTTACATCCCAACAACAAGTCTACAAGCAGACCCGAGGCAGCCCCATGGGACATCCCATGTCTCCGGTTTTGTGCCACATGGTCTGCTGCGTCGAAGAACATCAATGGTACAACACATACCGATCCATGCTCGCCTCCAGCCAGATCTTCAACAAGTTCACCAAAAGATATGTCGACGATCGCATCTGCATACTACCCACAACGTGGGCCTGCACTGTCCCGTGGAATGAGTTTCTTCAGACGGAGTTCTACGGACCACCAATTTTGCTCGAGGAACAAGATCATACAGACTACCTCGGATGCAGCATTGATCTTCAACATGGTGAAGTTCAACTCATACTCCCATCGGAAACGCACCAACTGATCTCACCCAGGGGATCCACACCCATGGTGCACCGGGCAAGCGCCTACCGCACCAGACGACACATGATCTCCAAGATCGCGTACCCAGAAAGAGTACGTCTACGCCAACTCCGACAACTATGTGCACTATATCAAAGACATGATCCTGACATGCTTCATTTTGTGCGTAGGCCGACACGATAAGACGCTTTGCGATGCCATGACCGCTCATGATAAAACATGTCATGCTTCATGCTAACATGCCGAATGAGCTCACGACCATGTATTCATGCAAGTGTCCAGCGCAGCAGTCGTGCGGCGAGTCGTGCGTCAAGTGTGGTGAGCTACGCACCTCCTTCACCGAGAACAGCCTTCGCACTGTCCATGTCGACATCTATGTCCTCCACCAACAAGATCCCAGACGATAGGTCGAGTCCAACGCCAACTACGGACGCTACACCAAGCGAACACCCAGGGTCACAGGAGACTTCACAGCAGCCCACATCGAACACGCAGAACCTGGACGAGACGGATGAACCCCGACAGGAACCGCAAGGAAAAGGTCTCGAAGCAGTTCAACACATCCTTGCACTCCAACATGACCGCATTGTCGCCGACTTGAAGAACTCGAGAACACGATCCAGTACATCTACAAGAACACCAGCACCAATGCCATCCTTCAAGAGCGCCATGACGTCAGGGTGGCTGCCCTTCGAGCGGACTCCACCAGAGCCACCACCGACAACATGATCCAACGACACACCCACACATTACGCCAAATAAACCAAAAGATCGCGGAGATCCAGAGAGAACAAAACACACAAACACAACGAATCATCGACGTGGAGAGCAGATTGGATGCGATCACCTATACCATGGAGGCCATGAAAGACAAGCTCCAACAACACTCCACACAACAACGCGAAGACCCCACCAGCAAGTCCTTCCTCGTCGACAGCATCGAGTACGCCCGTGTCCGCATCGACAAAGTTGAAGAACAGCTCCAGAAACACGGACAAACCATCACCTACATGTACAACTACTTCAAGCCTGGAACCAGAACGTCTACCAGCTCAGATGCAACACCTGTGCGACAATACTTCAATACCGCTCCAAGTCAAGAACTCCCTACGACCCCAATCCGAGCAGACCAAATCCCACGTCATCCAGTTCGGCTACACAGTGAAAACATGCGTCAAAGTCACGCCAGAGCAGAAGAAGATCTACAAAATGATCGAGATCGAGTTCACCAACCGGCAGCGATTGGAAACATTTTATCTTTGGTCATTTTGTTTTGCATTTTCAAAAACGAGTCCTGCTCTATCTCACCTACATCTGAACCTCGGCTTGGAGAGAGAAAAAGTACCTGCACCAGATGCGAGCCGTGCACCTTCACTCCTCATCATAAACATCATCATATAGCATGCGGCATGTGCAACATGTAAGATTGGCATGAAAGCAAGACGATCATGTAGCATGACATGCCACGCTGCAGCCTGTTGAGCACATCGGGTGACCAACCAGAAAACGCTCTCCTTTGGCCTAACATGGGTAAACACGATCAAAACCATGCTGATCCTCATTCCCTACATCTACGATCCAGATCGATGAGACGCAGATCGGACAACAACAACAGAACGAGAAGACGATCACCGCTGGAAAGAAATCCGGCCAACAGATTCGGAGATCGGTCCCGACGCCATGAACATCACGAGCACGAACCTCAACCATCGGCTACCAGGAACAGAAAACAGGAAGAGCTCCAGAGAGCAATTGAGACAGCAAAGACTGAGAACATCGAGATCATGGACGACATCACCATACCTGACCTCACCTACCTGATGATCGAGGAAGCCATCAGCATGCAGGCCACACTGAAGATTTTCGACGTCAGCGGCACACCACTCGAGTTGCGCAGCAGTACACACCAAATCGACATCCTCAAGGCATTCGACAAGAGTAAAGCCCAAGGACATGGAGTTTACACGCTCAACAAATCCGAAGTGATAAACTGGTTCACTCCAACATCGCTGGCAGTCAAAAGCAGACATCCAAGTTGTACCGTCTATGAGTTCATCGAGCTCCTCGAACAGCATATGATCTCCGAAACCGCCATGCACAAACTCCTCGAGCAGGACACCGTCAACAGCATCGACCAGTACCGAAGAGCCTTCATGCAGTTCAATGAGCAAACCAACCAGGAGGTCGTCACAAAGTCCATAGCAGTGAAGGCACGGCCCAAAATGCCCGCAGAACCCAGCGCACCGCCTCCAGATGTACCTGTCAAGGCTCCACCAAGGCTCCACCAGAGTCCATGCCACCCCACATTGGCCAACCTCCTCCGGAACCAGCGGCACATGCTCCAGTTACAAACCCAGTGTATCATCCCCCACCACCTCCACCAGCGGAGCCCATCCATCGGCCTCCTGCCAAGGCCATGCCTCACCATGACGCCAATACGTGCAGGCACTACTACAACTGCCATGGCTACTGCGATTGTGGAAGATGGTGCCAGAAAGTCCATGATCATGACGGACCACATGAATGTGAAAGATGCCAGACGAGATGATCGAGAGTCACGGCGAGCAACACCTACCTCCACAACTCCAAGCTTGACGAGACGAACTGAGACCAAGAACACCACCAGAAGACATGAGTTGTAGATGTGAGGTAAGCTGCGTAATGCATGCACTCCATGCGATCAAAACAACATGGACTGCCGGTGGAGCATGCTTGTTGCGGACCAGCCCCGCCATCGCTACGCATTTGCACGGTCACAGTTCATGAGGACGAAGCTTGGTAGGTCATGGCTTGCATGTGAAGTGAGATGTTGCACCCATGTTTGCATGAGTCACACTTCATGTGTCTTACCCGAGTTGCGACTTTGCTCATTACGATATAGCAGCTGGGAGCAGAAACCACCCGTGGAGCATGAGTTGGTTGTCGCAATCCGCGTTCGAGAAGGCCGCCAGGGCCGCCTACGATCAGGATTACTTGGGACTACCAGATCTACAAGTCTCCCTACGTTGGTACACAGTTCAGCTGATAATGGAACAACTCACCAAGATGGGCAACTCTCCACATCCATTCACTCCACTCATGATCCCCACCAGTGAAGCGCTCGCATTGTGGGGCCAACTCCAACATTGGCACAAGAACTTCGGATACCACCTGGACAAGATCCAACCAGTACCACAACCTCCTCAAGTACATAGTGACCCAACAGATCAACCACAACCTTCGCAACTCGCCACCAAAAAACGACGTCAACCATATCAAGCTCCACAGGACACCGATGCGGAGATCAGGAGCGGAACTACGTCCAACCTCATCCAGGACACGCCCATCAACCACTTGGACCCCATCGCATACGTCTCCGTTGGCGACCACCTCGACCAAACCCCGATGTCCACATGGGAAGCCATCAAGCACCCAGACAGACACCGCGAATGGAAGGAGCACACCGAATGGAACGCCACCACCTATAACACCTTCACGGAAGCCATACACAATCACCCGTTCGCTCAACACCTCTCCCAAGTCCGGCACTGTGCACGAGAGGATTCCAAACGAGACATGCAGCATTATGCCCACCCATGGCAGAAGTACGGTTCATCCTGTGGAATTGGGACCGCCGCGCTGACTACGACCCAGTCATTGCCGACCTCAACCTCCAACTTCCCATGGTTGCGCCTGCGGAGCGTGCGCAACCCCCTTGTTGGAGACAACTAGTGCGCCATGTAGATCAAGACCTCCCTGAGCACGTAGCTGCCCATGCAGCGTCACACTCGAAGGCTCTGAGTGACATTGCACAAGCACTCCATGTCGCTCAGCAGATGTGGGAATCCCTCCCGCAACCACCCTTGCGAAGGCCTGTGGAGAGTCCAGCCTGCTGACGACGCATCCAATCAGCTTGTACTCTTAGCCTCGTAAGCACTGTGTGCCAAAGGCCACGCCTACTTAGAGCAAGACACGCTCTACCCGGCGCTTGAGTAAAAAAGGACACAGTTGCCTTGCTGTCAGTATCCACGTAATTTAGGCTTCCGCCGCATTCGCACGTTCCTCTTCCGGCCCAGAGCCTCTTTTGTTCCCAAACCCCTACTTAAGCCACTTCCGGCTATTTTTTTATTTCTACTAGTACCTCCTCTAGAACCTCTGGCGGAGGGGGCCGATGACGCTTGCGAAGGCCTTCCAGATGCCCAGCGGGGAAGAGTGCGGAAGGTCGTGGCCGTATGCCACTGGTCGATTTCTTCTTCTTCCTTCCTTTCTGGAAATTGAGGCAAGGCAACTCTTCAAGTTGTTCTAACCTGATCAGAGGTCAGTGTAATTGTTGTTTTCAATGTTGGTAGAAACTGCAAAAACATTGGTTTTCTTTTTTTCAATTTTGGAGAAATTGATAAAACACTGGAAGAAGCCAGAGTCGTTGAAACTTGGACAATTTTCTTTACATTTAGCAGATTTATACACAGCAACATTTTTGATGTTTTCAGTTCAAATTACAGAATTTTTATCTTGCTTTTATTTAATGTTTTCTTTAAATGCCAGCTAAAACCAAGTTTAGCAACCCAAGAACACGCTGAACTTCTCTTCTTCAGAATCTTCAAGCTCGACTTTAAGTTGTTCAAACTTCTTAACTAACTTCAGTCTTTTTCCAAAATTAGAACAGGAGAGCAAGGCGGCAAAGTGTAAACTTGTTTGGAACCGGAACTTTCTTAAACCTCTGACAGTGCTCAGAAATCACAGCAGGACAAGACGAATTTTAACCGTGGTGTTGATTTCTTAAGGTTGCACGCGACGTCCAAGCCAAATCACTTTAAAATTGCAAAGACTCTCAAGTTGTTTCTGGCCTGATAAGAGGTGTGTGTGATTGTTTTTTTCAATGTTAGCATGATTTGCAGAAACATTGGTTTTTTCTTTTTTTTTGAACTTTGGGGAAATCAAGAAAACACTGGAAAGAAGCCAGAGTTGTGAAATTAGACAATTTCTTTAGATTCAGCAGAGACAGCAACACTTGTGTGTGTGTGAGTGTCTTAGAAGTGACGCCAACAAAGTTTTGGCCAGAGAGTCGTGTGTGTTACGGAGTGTGGTGTGTGTCACGATGTGCAAAGTGTTTTTAAGTGCAAGAAGATCGCGTGCGAACAATGCAAGACTGCTGTATCTTGAATGTCAGCCAAAGACAATTTAGCAAGCCAAGAACATGCGTACTTTCTTGAGTGTTTGATGCAAACAGCATCGAATAGAAAAATCTTGTTTGTCTGTAAGTTGATTTCAATTATTATTAACTCAAATGGTTCCAAAAGCAGCTTAATTCTGGGCACCGAAAACGGATAGATTTTGGATTGAAAGGCTCATTTGTTTTCCGCAATGAAGAGCTGTGAAAGCCAGATCTGGCTTCCCGTATATGAAAAAAACGCCGCAACTCCCAAAAATGGCTTTCAAACTTGGGTTCCAATTTGAGGCTCTATGTGGGTGGCCTTGTATGTTCACACAGGAAGTCGGTTCCAGTCTAAGTCTTGTGTCAGTCTTCCCCCAAAATTAGAACAGCAGGCAGCAAGGCGGCAAAGTGTGAACTTGTTTAGAACCGGCACTTTCTCTTCGATTTTGCTGCCCCTCATCTTGGATTTCACATTCTCCAGGTTTTGGCGCAAGGCCTGTCGCTTTTGGCACACTCAGCAGAGAAGATGCGTGCCTC